AGTGTGAGTGTGAGAGTGTGTGTGTGTGAGAGAGAGAGTGTGTGTGTGTGTGTGTGTGTGAGAGAGAGAGTGTGCGTGCATGAGTGAGTGAGTGAGTGCGTGCGTGAGTGAGTGAGTGTGTGTGTGTTCTGACCGAGCGTGTTGGCGATTCCCGTTTTGACGCTGGACATTCCCACGTGACTGATGCGGTTCTCGTGTTCGGCCTTCACTAACACCACGATCTTAATGTTCCACAGTGTCTGCACTGCGATCTACAGCCAAACACACACACACACACACACACACACACACAGATCAAACTCGTTCAGTTACTGCGGAAAGTTCAACTGCCAGATGAGAAACACAGACGAGCGCCACGACAGAAAAACACATTAAACTCTAATAAAGTCACAGTCATAACAGTCGCAGGATCATTAAACACAAATACACACACGGCTGGATGTTTTATGTGCTGGATTTCATCTGGAAGATTCATTATGAGTCTCTTTCTGCTCTCAGAGATTTAAGCTGCATCTCTCTTCATTTACACTGTTTTCACACATGCTTTGATAGCTCGGTCTGAGCTCACTAATAATAACATGGATGTTATTAAACCACAGTACCTACATCAACACGAACATTAACCGAACCTAGCACTATGAAAAACATTGCTGTTAACTGCAATCAAAATATAAATATTGGAATGAAAAACTTAGAACAATTAGAAATGTTGACTTGGGAACTGACTGAAATAAGTTTAATTAATTAATTAATTAATTAAAATAAAAAAACTGAAATAAAAATCTATTAAAATAAAATAAATATGATGAATGATGAAAAAAATGGACAAATGAAATTATAAATATAAAACTAATAAAAACGTCACATGCACAAATTTCTTAAAGCCAAACTAAAATGAAATTCTAAAACTAATAAAAATGCACGAACACATAACATTTTTAAAAATTAAACTAAAATGAACTTAAAAACTAAAAATATAAAAATAATACCCAATTCAAAATATTAATAAAAATATATAATATATAAATACCACCACAATAACAAAACCTAAAACTAAAAATGTCAAGAGCACATAACAGAGAGAGTAAAAATGAGAGTGAAATGTGAGAATGTGAGGCTCAGAGCTGCAGCGTGTCTCACGGGTTTGTAGTCGATCTCGGTGTAGTCTTTGAGGGCGCAGCGGAGCGTCTCCACCCACTCCTTATCACACACCGAGTTCTCCTGCGTCCCCAACACATAGATGTCATGAGGGATCGTCACCGCCATCTCATCCAGAGTCTTCCCCAAACCTCGGGATAAAATCCACGATCCCATCGACTTCGGAGCAGGAACACCGCCTGAGGAGAGACGGAGTGTGTGCACAGTTTGAGTGGGTTATGAGGACATTACCTGTGTCCCTGAAATTCAAAAGGCTTAAAAAAACATACTAAATGGTGCTTTTTTTTTGGTGTGTATGAGTAAATGATTGTGTGTGTGTGTGTGAGAGAGAGAGAGTGTGTGTGTGTGTGTGTGTGTGTGTGTGTGAGAGTGTGTGTGAGGGTGTGTGTGTGTGTGTGTGTGTGTGTGTGAGAGAGTGTGAGAGAGTGTGTGAGTGTGTGTATTAGGGTTGTGACGGTGAGGAAATTTTGCCACCAGTTAATCGACATGTGACAACACCGGTAATACCGGTAGCACCGTTTGGGGGGGGGGGGGGGGGTTGTTAGTTCGTTTGAATTTTCCTCTTTTCTTCACTTTCAAATTGCTTGTAAAAGTGCCGTACAAATTTTACTTTCACTTTCAAATTAGCGGCAATTCGGCATTGATTCAATTCAAGCAACAACAGCGTCAAACTCAGAACTTTTATTAACAAAACGAATAAAAATACACCATATATGCCTAATAAAATAACAAACTACTTAGGCTACACAAAGTTTAAATAGGTATATAAAACTGAAAATCAGCAAACACTGTGGAACCAAATAAATAAGAAACATAGAAGGTTTATTAGCAAAACGAGTAAGAAAGCTTGAAAGCACGGCATATACACCTTGACGTAAAATAAAATAAATAAAATACACAAAGTTTAAATAAAGTAATCTGCAAACACTGTGGAACCAAATAAATAAGAAACGAATGTTTAAACAAGCTTCCAGTCAACAGGCTTTTCAAAATCAAAAATATTGCCAAACAGGTGTCTTTGCGTTTCCTTTCCAAACAATCTTCTGCCATCCTCTTGTGTTTCTCAGCTCGCTCGTGTCCGTCAGCTTGACTCACTCTCCTCACGTGATGAATCAAATCTGACTCCTGCTCCGTGGTGCACTGTCGTTCCGCACGGCTCGGCACGCTGCATTGAGCGTTTAGTTTTTAAAAGTGTCTGTCCTCTACCTGAACTAGGCTAAATGATCTTTGTTACTATAAATAAATCAAAATGACGGTGGCGGGGCGGTGCCGCGGTGGGCAAATGACGGAACCGGTGTTGCGGCTTAACACCGGTATAACCGAAAACACCGTCTATCGCAACAAGCCTAGTGTGAGAGTGTGTGAGTGTGTGTGAGAATGTGTGTGTGTGTGTGTGAGTGAGTGAGTGTGCGTGCGTGCGTGCGTGTGAGTGCGTGTGAGCGATTATGTGCGAACGTGTGTGTGTGTGTGTGTGTGTGTGTGTGAGTGAGTGAGTGAGTGAGTGAGTGAGTGAGTGAGTGAGTGAGTGTGTGTGTGCGCATGTGAGTGTGTGTGTGTGTTTCTCACCCATGTTCCATGTTCCGATGAAGATGGAGATCATGTCGGGCTCGTCCTGATTGGAATGTTTGTTCTTCATGAGCTGCAGCAGTTGGCAGAATGCTTCCCTTTTCTACAGGGTGAGAGACAGGCGATTAATTAGTGGTGTGTGTGCATACAGATTAATCACACACTGTATTGAGTACCTGTAAAATCTGAATTCAGAAATGCCCGTGTTAATCTGAGTGACTTACTTTTGCACTGGCAAAGATGAAATCTTTCCTCTGGCTTTTGTCTTTTTCCTTCTCAAAGACGATTCCGAGTTTATTCTGAACACGCTGAGACTTTATCAGCTGCCGAACTACAAACACAAACATTCGCTAAACATGATTTCATCCTGTGACAAACCCTGTGAACAGCACAGACTCAATACTCATCATCATCATCATCAGACTCACTCTTGTCGTGTGTGAACGTGTTCCAGTCTTCCTGTGCGTCCTTCATCTTCTTCATCACCACCAGTTTTCCTCCCTCCACGTCCACACTCAGTGAGTATTTCTGGCTCTTCCCGATCTTCGTCAGGTCGGCCAGATACACGTCCAGTTTCACCTGAGACACACACACACACACGCTACTCTGACTGCACTGATTATTGCTCGGAATGTGTATGTTTGTGTGTGTGAGTGTTTGTACCTCGAAGGTCTGCACAGGAATAGCTTTGTGTCTGATGGACAGCAGCGGTGAGATGTTCGGAGTAGATGAGCTCATGTCCTGAAGAGCCTTCAGAGCCTGAAACAGTGTGTTTTCATCTTCATCATTTGTGGACAGAATATTAAAGTACTATTAAATGCACAATTATTGCAAAGAAGAGTAAGTTTATTTATAAAAATGAATGAATGAATGAATGTACGAATGAATGAATGTACGAATGAATGAATGCACGAATGAATGAATGCACGAATTAATGAACGAACGCACAAATGAATGAATGAATGAATGAACGCACAAACGAATGAATGAATGAATGAATGTACAAATGCATGAATGAATGAACGCACAAATTAATGAATGAATGAACGAATGAATGAATGCATGAATGAATGCACAAACGAATTAATGAACGAATGCACAAATGAATGCATGAATGAATTAACAAATAATAGTAGCAAATAAATAAATACATTTTATTTATTATGTGCCTTTCTCATACCCATTTAGCAGACACGTTTATCCAAAGCAACTTGCAATGAAGGAACAAAAGCAATTTGTCAGAGCCAAGAATTTGAGTAATTATTAGTAATAATTAGTGCTGTCAAGTGATTAATCGCATCTAAAATAAAAGTTTTTGTTTACATAATAAATGTGTGTACGGTGTTTATTTATTATGTATATATAAACACACACATGCATGTATATATTTAAGAAAAATTTTGTTATATATAATATAAATTGTATTTGAATTATATATATATATATATACACACACACGTACATATTTAAAAAAATATATACATGTATGTTTGTGTATTTTTATACACAATAAATACATATATTATTAAATATTTATATTATTTATATATATTGTACACAAAAACTTTTATTTTGGAAGCGATTAATCATTTGAAAGCACTAGTGATAATTCTTTTTAATCATAATTTTGTAATAATTTAATACATAATTATTTAAGAAATAATAATAATTTAATACATAAGTAATAACAATAATAATATTCTAAGAAATATAATACTAAATAAACATTACAATAATAATAATAATAATGACAGAAAATAAAATTTTAAAAATTATATGATATACTCAAACACTCAGTATTCGTGATATAGTAGGTGAATAATTATCAGAGGACATCAAGATGTGAGTTTTCCATCAAACTAAGTACATACTTTGAAATACAGAAATTTAGGAGCAGCTAGTGATTCTTTGGCTCTAAAATAACATGTGATGGAACTATTGATACGTCTGATGTATTTAGCTGTGTGTGTGTGTGTGTGTGTGTGTGTGTGTGTGTGTGTGTGTGAGAGAGTGTGTGTGTGTGTGAGAGAGAGTGCGTGTGTGTGTGTGTGTGTGTGTGTGAGAGAGAGTGCGTGTGCGTTACCTTCTTCTCTATAGATGACAGCAGATCTTTGAGGATGGCCAGTTTAGTGACCAGATGCTCCAGCTCTTGATCTCCACCCTGAGACATGGTCTACAGACAGAGATTACGCAACTCAGAGACATTTAGCAGATTAGCAGACGCTTTTATCTAAAGTGACTCACATTTATTACACAAGTTACTTACTAATCACACAAAACAGAATCAACAAACACCAGAAACACAAACACACGAGCTCAAAAATCCATAATGCAATACTATAAACCGTCTGAATGAATGAATCAGATCTACTAGTCACACATCAAACCCTCAGGAAGTGATGTCACACCTGCTGGATCATTCTGGACACCATGGAGGCGCTCTGCTGATCAAAGACCTTCGACAGGATCTCCAGACCGCACAGGACCTTATCCACCTCCCTACACACACACACACACACACACACACACACAGAGAATACCGTTTGTACATATGAATGAACGCGTTTGTGTGCATGTGTGTGTGTGCTAGGGCTGTCAAGACATTCAAATTTATCTAATTTAATTACATGATGTGCCTATTAATTCAACTAATTAATTGCAAATGTAACACGCATCAATTTGGGCTGAGATATCACCCCTCAAAAGATCAATCAAAGACATTATTGTATTACATGAGGAAAGCACTGAACACAGAAAAGAAGCTTCAGTAGCTGAAATATTTTGATATAACAATAATAATGAATGAGTAAATGATAGTAAATGTTTTTAAAAAATGTATACTGAAATATGAAATTATTAAAAAAATGAAATTATACTCTAAATATGAAACAAAGTCACCGTCTTCATGGGTGAGTCACTGAAACATTCATTTAACTGATTCATTGAAACAACTGATTCATTCAGAAACGAAGCAAGTTACTGTCTTTATGAATGCGTCTCTGAATCATTGGCTCACTCTATTCATCCAAACGACTGATTCATTCAGAAACAAAGCAAGTGACTCTCTTTATGAATGAGACACTGAATCATTGGCTCACTCGATTCATTCAAACGGCTGATTCATTCAGAAACGAAGCAAGTCACTGTCTTTATGAATGTGTCACTGAATCATTGGCTTACTCGATTCATTCAAACGGCTGATTCATTCAGAAACGAAGCAAGTCACTGTCTTTATGAATGTGTCACTGAATCATTGGCTTACTCGATTCATTCAAACGGCTGATTCATTCAGAAACGAAGCAAGTCACTGTCTTTATGAATGTGTCACTGAATCATTGGCTTACTCGATTCATTCAAACGGCTGATTCATTCAGAAACGAAGCAAGTCACTGTCTTTATGAATGTGTCACTGAATCATTGGCTTACTCGATTCATTCAAACGGCTGATTCATTCAGAAACGAAGCAAGTCACTGTCTTTATGAATGTGTCACTGAATCATTGGCTTACTCGATTCATTCAAACGGCTGATTCATTCAGAAACGAAGCAAGTCACTGTCTTTATGAATGTGTCACTGAATCATTGGCTTACTCGATTCATTCAAACGGCTGATTCATTCAGAAACGAAGCAAGTCACTGTCTTTATGAATGTGTCACTGAATCATTGGCTTACTCGATTCATTCAAACGGCTGATTCATTCAGAAACGAAGCAAGTCACTGTCTTTATGAATGTGTCACTGAATCATTGGCTTACTCGATTCATTCAAACGGCTGATTCATTCAGAAACGAAGCAAGTCACTGTCTTTATGAATGTGTCACTGAATCATTGGCTTACTCGATTCATTCAAACGGCTGATTCATTCAGAAACGAAGCAAGTCACTGTCTTTATGAATGTGTCACTGAATCATTGGCTTACTCGATTCATTCAAACGGCTGATTCATTCAGAAACGAAGCAAGTCACTGTCTTTATGAATGTGTCACTGAATCATTGGCTCACTCGATTCATCCAAACGACTGATTCATTCAGAAACAAAGCAAGTGACTCTCTTTATGAATGAGACACTGAATCACCCGGCTTACTTGATTCATTCAAATGGCTGAATCATTCCGAAAAGAAGGCAGTCTCTATGAAAGGATCATTGAATCATTGACTCACTTGATTCGTCCAAAGCCATAGATTCATTCAGTAATGAATCACTGCTGTGTGTTGATCACAGACGCTCATCAGTTCTGTTGTGGCTTTGACTGGAACTATTTTCATTTGCGAAACTGGGCCAAAACAGACAATATTGTGTCTAAAACGTAACCGTATTAACTTTTTGTTGTATAAATCAATATGGCATTATTGCAGTGGTGCAGAAGATATTGGGGAGAATCAGAACTCTTGCTGGTGTGATATTGCTTGTGATATAAATATAACTTTAAGTTTAGGCTCATATGACTGCATTCTAATGACTCCATCACGCATCAGTGAGTCGTCCTGCATCACGTGTTCAAGCGGCAGCTGCGGTGTGTACCCATGCAGGCGTTTGCAGGACGCCACCAGCGTCTTGTTGAGGTGAGGAAGGCTGTTTGCTCCCTGCTTGACAGCCTCCAGATCCAGAGCGTAGCTGCTCTTCAGATACTCGTGAGAGATGGTGCTCAGGCCGTTCGACGCCGTCACGCTGCAGAGACATTAACACACACGCTCATTCATAACAGCAATGGAATCATTCATTATTCATGCATTCGACAGATGCTTTTATATAAAGTGACTCGCATCGCATTCAAGCTACACTTTATTTTCAGTTCAAGTGACTTAAATAATGAAACTCATGTCAAAAAACATACAAACGCATTCATTTGCACTCATGTCGAATGAGAGAGGAACGATTATAATAAATGATGTTTATGATGAATGAATTTAGTATCACTGATATACTACTATAGTTTTATTAGCATTTTGAAATATATTTTTGGTTTTCATTTTAATAGCAGTTAGTTTTAGTAATTTTGCTGTGTTTTTTTTTTTATGTCTATGTAGTTTTTCATTCATTTTTATTTCAGATTAGTTTTAGTTATTTTATTAATAAATTAAAATGACCATCTTTTTTGTTATATATTTAGTTATTTATATATATATTTAATTTTATTAATGTTTTTTAATTTCAATTAATGAAAAGTTGTTTTACTATAATAAACCTGATGCCCTTATAATTTATGTTTGTTTTATACTTATATTTTTCATTCCTGTTCTGTTTTGAATACTGTTAAATTTAAAGGATTTTTTGTTGAGTGACAGGAACAAAAACACGCTTATGTTTGTATATATATCTTTTTTTTTTATTTACCAGTATTTTATATTATTTCTGAATATAATAATAACATGATGAAACATGTTTTTTTTCTCTCAACAATCAAAATTGTCACCCGGTGCGGCTTATAATATTTCAGAAAATACAGCAATGAATAAAAACTACATTCTGTTATATTTCATGTGTGCTTGTCAGCTCTCTCAGTCAGCTAATGTAGTAATGCAGAGGCGGGGCTTACTTATCAGGGGGCGTGTCTGGACTGATGAGGGCGGAGCCTGCGGGGCTGCTGGTGGAGGCGGTGCGTGGAGGGAGGGGCGGCTTCTCATCTTCACCATCTAAACACACACACACACACACATACGCACACACACACACACATACACGCAGTCAGTGTGTGTGTGTGTGTGTGAGTGAGTGTGTGTGAGAGTGTGTGTGTGTGTGTGTGTGAGTGAGTGTGTGAGTGAGTGTGTGTGAGAGTGTGTGTGTGTGTGTGTGTGTGTGTGTGTGTGTGAGTGTGTGTGTGTGAGTGTGAGTGTGAGTGT